GTGGATCAGGAGAGGTGACCACTACTGCCCATCGGACACCCTGACCTGAAAATCCCACTGAAAATTGGAGACACCTTCCCTGACACCCAGCTCCACCACTGTCTATGAAGCCTCAGAAGTTCTGCTGGATCACTCTAAACCTCTGCAGACAAAGCAAGGAGCTGTGATATCAGTACTCAATAAAACAGTTCTTCCAACAACATTTTGGCTCCAGCACCAAATATAAATGTGTCTTAAAGCCACTGAGAAGCACAGAAAAAAAAAAAATCACAGATTTGTAGAGCAAAACCTTTAGCTCAAATAAAAGGGGAGGGAATTAAAATAAACAACAACCAACTGCCTACTAAATGTTATAGAACCATGAAACCACGAAAGGCACAACCAGAGGAGCACTTAGACAAGAGTGGAAACCCCCACCCCCAATTCTGAAGAGTCTATGTCAAGGTTATCTGGGAAAGTCATCCCTGAATTACCCTTAACACAGTCTCTCCACATCTACTGCAGTCAAACTGCTTGTCTCCAAAAATCCCTCAGCTGACATTTGCACTGCAATCATAGGCAACATTTGCAAAAGGAAAGAACCCTTGTTTTCTGAAAACATAAAGACTGGCAGGAAGGCTTTCCACAATTGAAGGAACAAAGGCTGAGGCAGAGACAAAGGCAAAGTGCCCCCAGGGGCTAATTTGCAGCTCCGGATCTAGGGCACTTTAATCCCACTATGAGATTTCACAAGTCGCTCTAACTGAAGGCTGTCTGCAGGCTGCCTGCCCAGGAGACTTTCACATTAGGTCTTCTTTAACACTAAGTCCTGGGCATTTTACTACAGGAAAAGCCTGCCAGCAATGCATGCTTAGAAAGTGGAGGGCTTTCTAACAATTCGAGCTTTCTAAAAATGGAATGTGTCTTGAGAGATTGGGTTCCCCATCTCTGGACAGGGCCCATCAGATGCTGGTGACCAACTGGCTAGGACATGACAGAAGGAACCTGGGCACTGGTAAAGAAGGATTAGATGATACCTAGGACTCCTTCCTAGAGGATCAAATAAAATGGAGGGGATTATTCAACCAACTTGAAAGGACAAAAAAAACTCTTGCCTCAAATTATCTAATCATTTCAGGGGGGAAAGGGGGCTTTTAAAGATTGTTCCATCTTCCAAAGAGTCACAGCCACACACTGTCATTCATTTTTAAAGGCCAAATATTAACAGCTGGAATCCCATTATAACAAACTCCACAGTGTGATTCAAAATTTTTGGAGGATCTTTGGACACAGGCTTTCAGTCTATGATGACCTTCCCGAAAACAACAGACCAGGTAATAACTTTTGTGATATAAATACTTGATGCAGTATTTGCATTTGCTGGGATCAGTTGACCTATTCATGGACAAAAAAGAAAGTACAAATGTGACTAAGCTTATCATCAGAGTCATTCTGAAAATTCACAGAATACCACCACAATGGATTTAGTATCTGTGTTAATTTCAAAGATAAGTAAAAAGGATTAGACCAGCTGTACAGTGTGGTGTGGGTTTCCTGGCTACAGACACAGAAATATGATGCCCCGCTGTCCTGATTTCTCCAACATAAGCTTGTGGAGTAGTCTGTACTTCTCCTTCACATCATTTTGTGATCGTAATTATATCATTAATAATTCATCTTGTTAGCATCTGTCTTTATGATAGAGGCTCTAGAAAGGCAGGTTCTCACTGTCTCCTCAGTGCCTCCTAACTTTACATGGTAGTGTGGTAGGTGGTGGTGGAAGCATTCACTGAACAAAAGAATATTGGCTGGGAATCGAGCTCAGTGGTAGAGCCCTTGCCTAGCATGACCCAGAAAACAAAACAAAACAAAATACACAGTCACTAGATGAGCACAAGTGATGACAGAGGAGGATGGGGAGTGATAAGAACGCTCTTATACTAGAGGTGTGAACTGCTAGAACCGTGTAGGGAATCTGACACTTTCTAATCATATCAATGGCAACTATATCATGTCATCTCACAAATCTACTTCTGTGTATCCTAGAGAAACTGGGTTTATGTGTTAAAATGTTCACAGCAACACTGCTCATAATTGCCCCAAAGTGGAAGCAACCAAATATCTATCAAGAATTAAGTAGATGAGTAAATTGTGGTATATTCATGCAATAAGATACTATATGGCAATAATAATGAATTGAGCAAAAGAAACCAAGACACAAAAGGCTATGTGGCCATTTGTATAAATATCAAAAACAAGCAAATGTTATCCTAGAAAACGTTCAAAGAACAGATAGATCAAAACATACAAATTCTTCCAAAGAAAAAAGAGAACTTATTTTACAAGGATGATAAAACCAAAACCTGCAAAGAAAAATAGGTATTAATGCACAAAACTGAAAATAGTTATTTGCTAACCCTAGGTAAAGGGTGAAAATGAGAGAAAACATATTGCAAAGAACCACTCAGAGCATTTCAGGGTTATTGATAATGTTCTGTTTTTCACTCTAAGAATATGGTATATTGGTATTTCTTTATTCTTTAAAATGTTGCTACAAGCCTTATACAAATCTGGCATGCATGGGCAAACATCTTTCTGCATATGTCCTTGGAAGTGGATTGACTAGGTAAATGGTAGAACCATTACTGCCACTTCAGTATACATGCTTTAATAACACCACAAGGATGCTTCCTTAATATAGGAAATTCTACACGACATACAACCTGACTCCTTCAAAAAGAAGGAAAAAGATGGGTGAGGCTAAACTATAGATTAAGATACACACTAATACTTGGATTGTGATTTGAATTAACCAACTACTAAAAGAATATGGAGCCATAAGAGAAATGAACACTGCTTGAATAATGACTAATGACGTAAAGGAATTATTTCTAGGTGTGATAATGGTATTTTACTTTTAAAAAGACTCCTTACCTTTTAGAGATATGTATAAATAATGAAGAAATTACCAATGAAATTCTGTATCTGGGATTTGTTTAAAAACAAACCAGTGTGATTGGGGGGTGGGGGGGAATGGAAGGAGAAAAAGACCAAGATGGGCCAAAGTGTAAGCAATGGTTGATCCTGAATAACACACACATGGGATTTTGTTATATTATTCTCTCTGTTTTTGTATTTAGTTATATCTTACTGGAATAGGAAGCATAAAGGGACAGAAGAGAGAAAGGGAGAGACAGAAGAGGAAAGAAGGGAGAGGGAAGATTTCTCTAGAGAAATAAGTTTGTGCAGAAAATGCTTTGGCAGGATATATTTTTAAGTGTTCAAGTGGTTATCTCTGGACTAATGTGATCACAATTTTTAGAAAAATGTTACAATTTTAACATCTCTGGGTGGGAAGAATACTGCCAATTTTCAGTTTCTTTTTTAACTTAGCTACGTCTTCTAATTGTATCTATGGTGAACAGATCAGAATGTGATTTAAACACTGTTGAAAAGGACATTAGAAAGATTGCCCAAAACAAAAGCCTCCTGCCTTAAACACTTCTGGGTCATGACTGACAAAGGACTGCATATTTGTGTCCTCTCAAAACTTATGCTGAAACCCTAATCTCTAATATGATGGCATTTGGACCCCAGGGTCTCTGACCCCATGATGGGATAGTGCACTTATAAGAAACATGAGAGAGCTTCCTTCCCCCATAGCAAGAAGACAGCCATCTGCAAGCCCAGAAGAAGGTCCTCATCAAGAATCCAACCAGGCTGGCACCCTGAACTCAGACTTCCAGCCTCTGGAACTATGAGAAATAAGTTTCTGTTGTTTAAGCCATGGTGAAAGCATTGTGCTGTAACAGCCTGACCAAACCAAGACATAGGCCCATATCAGAATCTGTTAAACACTACCATCTGTCTCCTCAGAAAAATGTACAATTATACAGAATTTTTCACGTAATATCAAGAAACTCTGAGACCCCCTAGTTAACCCACAGACTTGCTGTTATGTGTAGTTCTAATAAACAACAATGGAAGACATTTATTACACACGTGCTATGTGCCAAGCAGGGCTTTAAGCTGTTTACAAGTGTAAAACACTTGATTCATCTACTCTTCCCAGCAACCTATGAGACAGCACACTTATCACCCCCACTTTACAGATGAGGACAGTGAAAACAGAGAAGATGTAGCCAGTCACAAAGTTTAAATTCAATATAAAAAGCAAATATGACACTCAGAATCATGCTTTGGAGCCCATGTCTTCAAATTCAACTAACATTAGGTGCCACCATGGGCCAGGTCTTTCCAAACATATAAGCTCACTCAACCCTTTAAACAGCACTCTGACTTTCCTCGTTTACCCAGCTCACTGTGGCACAAACAGTATCCAATCTTTGTCTGACTTCAAGTTCACTGTACCACTGCTGATTCTAAGTGGGGGAAGTTGGTCTGTTCTAAATCATACCTGACCTCTGCATAATCACCAATTTTTTAAAAATTTTTATTTTACTCATATGTGCATACAATGTTTGGGTCATTTCTCCCCCCTTCCCCCCACTCCCACCCTTACCCTCCCCACCCCCCGCTCCCTCCCTTACCCCCCCTTACCCCTTGCTACCTAGCAGAAACTATTTTGCCCTTATCTCTAATTTTGTTGAAGAGAGAGTATAAGCAATAATAGGAAGGAACAAGGGTTTTTGCTGGTTGAGATAAGGGTAGCTATACATGGAGTTGACTCGCATTGATTTCCTGTGCGAAATTTAAGGCAACTAGTCAAAGTCTAGTTTAATACTTTAATTTTAGATCCTAAAATTTGCCTATGGCACAAAACAATCAAGAATTTCAGGAAATTTGCCTTCTTTCCTTGTTTCATCCAGCTGAGACAACTTGGGACTTGCACTTGAGTTTCATAGTCATAAATAGGATTTTCCACATATACCGAAGGCAAATGCAGATGGCTGTCTTCTTGCTATGGCAACTGCTAAGTGCTGTAATATCACACTGTACTCACACACAACATAGCCTGTACATTATGCATGAGCAAGTTACAGGAGAGCCCCAATACTTACAGTTTCACAGTTCAAGCATCGGGTTTCATTGGTGAGTGTTCCCTGAAAAATCTCATGGACCCAGGTGAGTTCTGGCTTATTATTCTCTGCAGGTTCATTCATGTTGCCATTCTTCAATTTCCCATTTTGTTTTTCTTGTTTCTTCTCTTCCTGAAGGATGTCCGCAATTGTGTTTAGCAAATAATTTAAAAACTCGTGAGCATCCTGTTGCATATAGTTATCAAAGAGATCTGGAAGGGAGAAGGCCATTACTTTACTCTCTGGTCCTTGAAAAGCAGACAGACAGACATGCTTAGTTTTACACACACTTCAATTTTTATATTGAAAGGGTGGTCAGGTATGGAATATAAATATATTCAGCTCTACTCTGCAGCATCAGTGAGTAAATTTCAAAAGAATTTTTGTTCTTTTCCCTTTCCTGCCACCCACCAAGAACTAGTTTCCCCAGTTTCCTATAGTCATGTATACAAAAAGTATCCAAAAGTTTTATTTGTCCTGCAGAACAGAAACTACCTGACAAGATCCCTGATAAAATATCAATTTTTAATATGATTTGACTACCAATTACTTATTGGGTAATTTAACCAGAGCAACTGGAGTCTCTTCCCAAACAACATACTCACTCTGGACCAGCCTGGAAGCAGCCTGATGAAATACCTAAGGAGGACGAGGAGTATGAGCACCAAGCAGGTGCTTGCTTATCTGGTAGTGCTCTGAAAGCAACCGCAAAGGAGTCCAGAAGCCTCTGTTGCCTTTCCCTGCCATCCGGAGACAAAGGTCACTATGAGACCCCATTATTAAACATGCTCACGACTACTCTGCAAGGGCTTGGCTTCCTCCTCTACTCGTGTCCCTTTTAATTACTACACATAAACTACAACAGCTTCAAAAGACAACAACCTAGTTAAATGAGACTTCGTGAAACCAACATCTGATTAACTGTCCAAGTCTGCTGGAGTGAGGCAGAATCTAAGACAGATACAAGTTGCCACAGCAAATATTTCTGTAATGAGGAAAATGCAAAACTTCTGGAACACACACTTCATTCCACCACTTCCCCCAAAAAAGAAGAGAGAAAAAAACCCAAAAATATCAGGTTACCGCAGGACATTTTCATCATATAGAGATATCAATTTGCAAACAAAACTGGAGGTTGTATTAGTTTTCTGTGACAAAATATCTGACAGGTTTATGTTGGCTTATGGTTTCAGAGGGTTCAGTCCACATCACTTGGGCAGAACATCATGGTGGTGGGACCAGGCACCCCACACGGTTTGCTCATAGCAAACAGGAAGAGAGTGAGGAAGGGAATGGGAACTTCGTGTAATCTTCAAGGCATGTCTCAAATGACCTACTGTAACGGGCTTAAAAGCTGCTTTTGCTGAAGAGCTCTGACTCCTTACTTGGGCCCAGGAATCAACTAAAGGCAGAAACCAGTTAGATGATTGCAATGCCTCTTTTCCATAGAGATGAAAGGAATAAACTGACAGTGGGGAAAATGTAACAGGGACCACAAAAGAGAAAAAAAAAAAAACCTTTTTAATAAGCAGCTTGCCTACTGGCCAGTTTACTCTGTTTGTTGATTAAACTAACTTTCTTTCTCTCTTTGTCTAACTGCTGGAGAGTCCAGTAATGAAGATTAACTCCCTTTGCTCTCCAATAGGCTAAGCAGCTCGCTAGCCCTTGTGTCTCTCTGACCACCAGGGCAGTAAACCTGACAGCCAACATATATAGCTGCAGAGAAATGGCGCCGGACACCTGGAGAATCAAGGCCAGTCAGTGGCCATGAACATGCATCTGGTCACTCAGTCAACCTGAGCCCGTCTCCCCTTTAGCAGGTGGACATTTTCTCTCAGAAGCGGGAGGACAGAGCTTTGAGAGGGTGACTCTCCCTGTCCTCCTCTTTGTCTGACAAATAATAAACCTTATTTCCTTCTCCTCAAAACCCTGCTCTCATTATCTGTACATTGTGAACTGTCATCAAGGCCAGGGGACCGGTTTTCTGGTAACACTACGTCCTCTAACTAGGCTCCACCTTCTAAAGATTCCAGAACCTCCCAAAATAGCACCACCAGCCTGGGCCAAGCATTCAACATATGAGCCTGTGGGGGCATTTCATATTCAAACCGAAACAGGGATAGTATTTTTAAAACAGTAAAGCCTCCAATTCAGTAATATGCACTTGATTTAATCACTTACATTAAGTTCATCAGATAGTGTTATTTTGTTCCATTACTGCAACAACTCATTTAATCTGATGAGTGTCCTACTCATTGCCTTAGACAATTTTTCCCCTACAATGACCCTAACCAAAATGGAGAAAATATTTAAAAATCATACTAAAATGAGATGCTAAATCTAAATTTTTAAGCATATATTTCTAATCTGGCTTTTATTTATATATACTAGATTAAAAATAACTTTTCTTAACAAATGACACTTGAATAGATGACTATGCTTATTTTTCCCTTTCAAAAAAAAGAAAATCAGCCATTCATTTTGAGCCTACAAAGAACTGCCCGATTTCCTTATTCCACAGCCTTAAACCCACCGAGCCCCATCCTGCTCACCATTCTCTTTCCTCAGCCTTGAAATGAATTTCTTTGGTGGGATGACGCCAACCTTCTTCTTCTGCGTAGCAATGCTGTGGAAAAGGTCTGCCAGGCATGTCAACAAGTTTTCCTTCTTTTTTTGCTGGGCCTTGTATGCCAACACATTCTCACGGAACGGCCGGCAGAAGTACAATGCCTGAAGCACGGAGTTACAGTAGCATGTGTTTCCAAACTGCCAAAGCACAAGAAGAGTGGCTTGAATCATTCTCTGGGGACAAGCCATCTCTGAAACGGGGGATGGCCAGGAGCCATGAACTTGCCTAGATTGCCCAAATTTCCCTATATTGGAATCTAGCTCTAGCTGTATTAGAAAACTAGTTTAGTACTGTAAGCCTCAGTGAACACCTGATCAACAGGTAAGGAGTAGGAGTATACAGCAGGCCCCCTTATCTGTGCTTTTGCTTTCCGTGCTTTCAACTGCGAGTTAAACATTAAATCCAAAACAGCAAATTAAACATGAACATTAAATGAATCCAAAACACTAAATGAAAAATTCCGGGAATAGACAATTCATAAATCTTCAGTTGTGTACCACCCTGAGCATCATGACGAAATTCACGGCATCCTGCACCACTCTGCCTGGGACATGAACCATTCCTTTGTCCACCGTATCCATGCTGTATACAGTACCTGCCTGCTAGTCTTTTACCGATACATTGTCACAGTAATACAGTGCTATGCTCAAGTAACCCTTACTTTACTTAGCAATGGCCCCAAAGCTACAATTAAACAAAAGTGGTAATGCTGATAAGTTATTATAATGTTGTTTTAATTATTCTATCTTATTAGAATATTAGTTATTATTGTCATTCATTTTTTTTCTTGTGTCTATAAATTAATCATAGGTATGTATATTTAGAAAAAACACAATCTATGCAGGGTTTGGTACTACCCACAGTTTTAAACATCCACTGGGATCCTGAAACTTATAATTCTCAAACCATAAAAGTCTCTAAAGTGATAATAAGTACTCTGACCTAAAGAATCTGATGGGTCCTTCTGGTGCTTACAAAGACAAACAAAAAAAAAATGTACATAATATGGAGACCCAGAAAAGCAGCTGGCTAGATAAAAGATGCCAAATTACAATACATCAAAACTCCCATGATGGGGAAAAAAAATTCCAACTCAAAAAAAGAAATTGAGGAGGTTGAGGATGTAGCACTACAACAAAGACAAGAGGAAGGAAGGGAGGGAGGGAGGGAGGAAGAGAGAGAGGGAGGAAGGAAGGAAGGAAGGAAGGAAGGGAAAAAAGGAAGGAAGGGAGGGAGGGAGGGACCTAAGAACCTCCAGCACAGCTGAAACAGCCTTAAGTAAGCCAGGGCTTGTTTCTGTTTTTCTCTTTCAAGATTCCAGTGTCCCTGCCCACTGGCTCGGACCACAGAGCCTCACTCCCTCCAGTATAAAGGAGGCAAAAAGTCATCTCAGCTTCCCACCTCTTAACTTCTAAATTACCTTCCCTCTTATTTCTTCCAACATAGCAACTGTCCCAATACAGTATCACCCAACTCCCTAGTCTTCTATACTCAGATTATGGCCCACACAGTGGTCCTTATCCCTCTCAGAATCATGGACACTGAGACTATGATCACAGAAGGAAAAGTCATCATTATCTCACTCGTTTCCAATCGACTATAAGACAAACTCTGTAGGAGAACATGGCTGAGTCTTTCATCTCAGAACTGTTACTATGCTATAAATCGAACAGGAAAAGATCCTAAAGAAATAACAAGATTAACAACCCAGATTACAAAGTGCTATGGAGATTGATAGAGCATGGACACCTTCTCAGAATGGGCTGCTGGCTTGTGTGGTCTACCCAAGATGAAGAGGATGCTCTCTCATACTTCTGTGAAATCTCTACACATCCTGGGGTGGAACTGTCCCTATTTTCATATATTTGAATCTGTTTTGACAAAATTATGTAACCAGACACAAGTCCTTTTTCAGAGAAGCTAGAACCTTCATAAATTACCATTTGAGGGATTGTAGATGAAGCTCTTACTAAATATAGATCTTAGAATTCTTCCATAAACTAGGAAATGGCCCTAATTCTTTTTTCTCCAGTCTGCATTTAAATTTTCTTAGCCAGGGCAGAATTCCCATCACTTGAACAACCATTTTCTAAAAGTTAGTAGAGGCCAACACACATGGCTAAAAAAAATTGTATTAAAATCAGACATCAGTATTTTATCAACTCAGTGTCCCTATACTCCAGTATGATACTTAGCCTTCCTCCTTCCAGTCTTTTCTACTTAGGGTCTCACTTTTACTCAGTCACCCTTCAGTCAGGCTTTGCTCAACCCAGTGAACAACTCCTGGGAAAGAAATAGCACTAACATATACCAAGGGTCCACCAAGGGTCCAACCATGCCTGAGTCTCAGGTCAAGGTCTTACCTAAGAACACTCATTCATCCTTTGCTGTAACCCAAGAGGGCGGAAACCATTACAATCCCCATTTTACAGACAGGGAGAGAAAGGATCAGAGAGAGCAAATAACAAGCCCCAGCTCACACAGCTAGTGAACACACAGGCAGAATTCAAACTCTGTAGCTCTGTACTGCACTGAACCCAGCGCTCTTTCTTTTACATCTGAGGCAGCATTTACCTGCAGACAATATTTTCAGCCTCCTCTACTATAAACCACACCAGGACACTGGCAAACCATGTGCAGACCAGTGGTTCCAGAAAACCATGTGTTTATGAGTTACCACTTGATGTCACCTAATACTTCACCCAGACAGAAAGGACAGTTGAGGAAGAAAACTCATGGGTGAGGTGGCCAGCACTGCCTACTACACAGTTACCATCAACTGCCCAATGAAGCAGCACCTGTAAGTCAAGCCAGACACAAGGGGCTACTGCTGAGCACATTTAAAATGAGGCCAGGCAATTCTGGGGTAAATTGGTCTCAGTTCTCCCTCTCCAGCCCGCCCAGCTTCAGGGAAGGACCTGACCAAGTTACATTTGAGGGAGTTACTGGTGGTGAGCTGGTAACACCTTCAAAACTGGATGTACAATGCATAGCAAAAAAAGACAGCCTAAAGAACAATAAAGAAAGGACAGAAGAAAGTGGATTGGGCTACAAAGGCTAATGAAATCACTATGAAGTGATGTGTGCAAAGGGAATCCTTCAAAGATGGGGAGGGGGATGGGAGTTTGACCCAATAATGTAGTAATTATAAAACCTTTTTTCTGGGACAACTAATACTTTCAAAATAGATTAAAATACCCTTCTCTGACATTTGCCACTTCTACTAACTAAAGTACATGAACAATTGTTTAAAATTAGTAATGATGGGGGAAGGGGGCTATCTAATCAATGTACAATGTAAAGCCATTCAGAATTGTCACAACAACCCCCCTACCCAGGTACAATGAATCTATGATAATAAAAATGGAAAAAAATAAAAATTAGTAGTAATGAAAATGACAGGTAGGCATGGTGGTGCCTGTCCATAACCCCAGGAACTCAGGAAGCCAAGCAGGAGGATCAAGAGTTCAAGGCCAGCCTGTGCTACATAGTGAGGCCCTGTCTCAAAAAAAAGAAAAAGAGAAAAGAAAAGGACAGTGGAGTGGTGTCAAATACTCTAAAATGTTTGATAAACATTTTAAAATACTAAAAATGTTAAATACTTACATTGACCAATCCGAAGTAGTGTTCATTGATTGGAAACTGCTCTGGACCAATGTCTTTTTCCAGAGCAGAGGCATTGGTGCCCTGAAAGAAAACACACCAAATGTTTTGTTGCATGTAAAATAGACGAGAAAGTAAGACGGTACTTGAGCCAGTCCTCTACGGAGACAAGCATCTCCCCTGGTCAACAAGGTGTTTGGAACACTCGTGCCGAAAGAAAAGGTGTCAGAAGTAAATGGTAGACTGGCTGATAATGTCAGCCCTGTTCTTCCTCTCACCCATTTATGCATCTCCTCAGCCCTGTTCTACGTGGCTTCCATGATCCTCCACTAGGAAAGGTTTTAGATTGATAGGCAAATGAGCAAACTATCCCTGAGAACTTCTGAATAAAACATTGTCATTCCAGACAGCTGAAACAGCATTTAGAAGCAGGGTGCGCAGAAATATATTACCACTTTCAAAGTCAATTTCTTCATTCTGATAAGGATTTATTGTGCATCCACCGAGCCAGATACTGGCCTCTGGGTCTGGGAATTGATAAGAGAGTGGAACAAAACAGACATGGACGTTTGCTCTCATGGAGTTCTCAGTTTAGTACAGAAGCATGGCTGGGAACACAAGCAAGGGCATTAGACAGTATTTCAGGAGGTGCTGAGTGCAGTGGAAGAAACGGAGTAGGAGGTGGTGGGGTTGACAGGGAGAGGCATGCGGGTGGCAAGAGGGGATAGTTGTACCTATCAGTAGAATCATCATGAGGCCTTACTGAGAAGGCCAATACCCAAAGAGTAACAGGACTAATGGAGAAATGGAATTTGAAACCTAACAGCACTCAGATGCAGCACACTGGTAAGTCACAGGATAATAACTACAGATATTGGGTAACCTTGCCATGGGCCAAGGACTATCTACTTATCCTTACAACGATCCTTGAACTATTACGAATCCTACTTAACAGACAGGAACATAAAGCTCAGAAGGATTGAAGAATCTGCCCTAGGACCCAAGCAATGCATCATAGAGCTAGGGGTGAACACAGGGGTCAGAAATTGATAGCCCAATTAACTGAATGCTATGCAGAGCAATCCTATCTGTTAAAACATTGACTGAGCCCCACTAAGAGCCATCCCTGGTGATGGGCTGTCATTACTCCTCCAGGCCAAAACAGTCTGCTGGGATTAGGAAGAACAACCAAAGTTCAGTTCAATAAACTGTTGAACAGAACTGCTGTACTGTTGTACTGTTTCCAGGACCCCTGTGGAGATGGTTGGGTCCCTCATAGAAAATGCTTATAACCTGTACACATCTTCCTGTATACCTGAAATCATTCCTTGACTACTTATAATACCTAATATCACATAAATAGTATGCAAAGTTAGTATTCTGTATTGTTTGTAGAATGAGAAAAAGTCTGTACATATTCAGGACAGACACAAATAGTTTTCATCTGCAGTTGCTTGATCTATGGAAGGAAAGCCATAGATATGGAGGGACGATTGAGGTGTGAGCAGCAGGAAGGCTCAGGCACCACTGGAAGTGTGGAACTTCCATCATTCTGTACTTCTCAGTTTCTCAGGCTATCATGGAAGGCTCACAGCTCACAGAGAGTTGAAGATTTGGGAGAGAGATAAAAAGAAAAAAAGCATGCTTTAAGAAAATAAAAAATCCACAGCTACTACATATGCTTGACTCATGGTTAGCATCTCCTTCCACGGGAAGAAACTGCCAAGAAGTAGACTGAGAACCAATCAAAATGGCCACTTGTCACCAGGCAAACGTTAAAACAAAATAACCCAAATCTAAGCAAATAGAACAGCAGCAGAAACAGCACATTGCACCCCTTCATCACAGCATCCTCTGCTTCCATGTGTTTTCTAGGTCCTTTACACCGTCCTGCCAATATAAGTTCCCTTACCTGTCATCTGAGACTTTGGGTTCAATGCTCATTTGTGAGCAACAGCGTCAATCGCTCTCCTTTAGTGTTTGTGGGTGAAGGGTCACTGCTTTTGCAATAATGACTCCATGTACAAGGCTGAACTTTTGAAATAACACAACAAATTATGGCAGGATTTTATGGCATAGACAAAAATCACTACAAATTTTTTAAGAAAGTTACTTCTCAGTCATAAATTAATACAAATATAATGTGTATTAAATACACCCACAGCCACTTTTCAGGCAACATTAGAACACATGGCCCAGAGCCCAGAAGAAATGTCAGATATAAAAATATAGCACATGGAGATCAATCTATTAAGTCTTTCTCTGCAGGAAAAAGCAATATATTTGAATTAATCCATGACTTGTGCTAACTTTTAATTCTTAGATTGAGTCTTCTCTTTTCTACCTTAGAATCTCCCCATTTGTGGAGGGGGAGCTGGAAGTGAGGGAATGAATCATACTGAGGACAGAGACAGTGGCTCTTCCCTGACCTGGCTTTTCCCTGAGGTCCACAGCCTTCAGGTCACGCTTGCTTATCCTGCACAATCCAGGTGATGTGGAAGGGTCACAGGAGAAGCTGGCTGGGCGGGATCCATAGTGTGACTTCCAGACCATTGCCCTTCACCCTCTTGTCAAAACAGCCTGCTTTCTGTGTCCCAGGCCCCTGTTGTACAGACTCCCTTCTTTCACCTTGCCTGGGCCAACCCCCAATTCACTGAGAACCTATCTTTACACCTCAGCTCCTGCCACCATTCTGGATGGTTTCAATACCCATGTGGATGAGCCGTCCCACATCCTGTTCCCCCAGCAACCTCATGTCCTATTCCCTACTGCCATTCCACTCTAATCCAGCCACCCCTCCCAAACACATACCCTAGATCTGGCCACCACCCTGCAATCCTCAACTCCGCTCTCACCAGAGAAGTCTGCTGGCTTCTTTAAGTATCCCATCGCCACCAGCACTTTCACTCCTCTTCCTTCTTATTTAGCCTAGAGTCTCTGGGTGATGATTTCAATCATCCCTTCCAAGGTTCCCTTGCCCTGGCCTTCGGCCAAACTACCCAACAAAAAATGAACCCAGTATGAGCCAAATTATTCACCTTCTCTGAACACACACCCAGACAGATGTGCAAGGATAGAGAGGAAAAAGTCAAGCCACCACGCTGACCAGATCACTGCAATTCACCCAATTCCAGTGGCCCTCAACATACCAACATTGCAACAGTGCATTCACTCCTCACTGCACAATGACTATTTCCAGTTCTGCCCAAGTCCCACAAAGCGTCAGCATCCCCTGCACCCCGCTCGCTTTACCTCTCCCACTTAACAGAAAAATAAAATTTTAACCAGCACACAGAGACTCACTTAACTTGCTACTCACAGACCTCTTTCTTGCATGGAGCTGTCTCTCTTTCTCTCTCGTCTAAGGATCTCTCCTTATAAGACCCATCTCATCAAAAGTTAAACGTCCTTCAGCATCTCCCGTATCAAAACTGCAAGCACGCACAATTGCTCCCCCAATTGCCACCTCGTTCTCACTCCACCTTGAGACCTTAATTCCTTAAAAAACTGTCTGGTGCTGCAACACTCACAGATGAGTCAGGCAAATTCTACAATCTGTAAGGTGGAGAAGTGGGGGAGGGAAGAAAGCTGTATTGTTGAAGCTGAGTGACAGATACGCGGAGACTCTCCGTACTACCCTGTTTAGATTTTTACACATGCAGTCATGCATCACTTAATCATGGGGACGTCTGAGAGATGCATCATTAGGCAATTTCTTAAGTGATTTTCGTCATTGGGCGACCATCACAGAGTTTACTCACACCAGCCTAGATAGTATAACCTACTATACACCTAGGCTATAAGGTATATATGTATGTGTGTGTATTTATAATATATACCATTACACACACACACACACACACACACACACACACACACACACACACATTTCACATATATATGGAACAGCCTATTGCTCCTAAGGCCCAAAGAAAATTAAATCAAGTACAAGAGAAAAGGATGTAATCAAGAACATGGTAAAGGAACTGAGAGCATGGCTCAGGGGGTAGAGCATCTGCCTAGCAAGTACAAGGCCCTGAGTTCAAACCCCAGTACCTCCAAAAAAAAGAGAGACAGAGAGACATGGTAAGATATAGGTAATCATTTTCTGAACAGGATGCAATTGTCTAGGAAATTAAGAGAAAGAATTTGACAAATGGGACTGCATCAAATTAAAGACCTTCTGTACATCAAAAGAAACAGTTACCAGAATCAAGAGACAAATCACCTAACGGGAGAAAAATCTTCACCAGCTATTTGACAGGTAAGGGATTAATATTCAGAATATACAAAGATCTCAAAAATAAACACCAAAAGAACAAATAATCCAATTAATAAATGGGCAAATGCATTGGACAGTTCTCAGAAGAAATACAAATGACTAATAAATACATGAAGAAATATTCAAAGTCTTTAGCCATAAAAGAAATGCCAATCAAACAACACTGAGATTCCGTCTCATCCCAGTCAGATTGGCAATCATCAAGAAAACAAACAACAACAAATGCAAATGCTGGCGAGGATGGGGCGGGGTGGGGGGTGGGGAACCTTCATACACTATTGGTGGGAATGTAAACTGATGCGACCACTATGGAAAGCAGAAGGAAGGTTTCTCAAAAAACTAAGAATAAACTTAACTTTTATGATGCCACCATACCACTCTTGGGCATACACTCCAAGGAATGTAAATGAATACACAAGACAGATACCACCACACCCATGTTTATTGCAGTTCTCTTCACAATAGTCAAGCTGTGGAATCAGCTGAGGTGCCCAACAACCAATGAATGGATAAAGAAAATGGTACATGGAATATTACTCAGCCATAAAGAAAAATGAAATTATGTCATTTTCAGGGAAATGGATGAAACTGGAGATAATTGTGCTGACGAAGGTAGGCCAAGCTTAAAAGGCAAATATCACACATTCTTGCTCATTAGTGGAAGCTAGACCTAAACTGATGGTGGTGACGATAATGATGGGACACGAATGGATATAGGGAACTGTGGGGAGGTGTATCAATGGGAAGGAAGAGGGAGAAAGGAAAGGAGACTGAGGGGTGAAGAGGACGGAAGACACTACAC